GTGTTCCCGTAATTATTCGACGTCGGGCCCGGAAACCCGATAATATTTCATAACGCGAAAACACTCGTTGAGATTTCCTCGTATTTATAAAGCGAGAGACACGACTCGGCGCCAGAATCCACAACTTAAAAGTAGCGCATCGATTTCCAGCCATTTGTTCAATAAATCGTTGCTCCCGCTGCTTCTGCAGGCTTTACAGGATAGAACGATCGAGGAGTTACGCTGATGTACTTTTAAAATAGCACCGAGGTCAAAACGAGACTTAGACGATCATCCGTTCCACGGACAGTCATCGAAAAATCATAGATCACTCGCGAGAAATTATTGCTCGCCTTGGTCGAGTTACCGAGTCTAGAGATATACACAAAGTCCCAAGATTTTTCACGTTCCAAGTAAAAAGTTAATATGAAGAGACAGACAACAATAATTATTTGTGTTCAAAATAAAAAAAAAAAAACGTCGCAAAGTATTGTCTTATAGATCAACTTTCATAGATCAACTTTAATTTCGGTTCAACTTACTCTTCATTCTTTTTCTAATTCTTGTAATCAGAAAAAGAAGAAAAGTTAGTTGAATCGAGATTAAAATTAAATCATCTACTTTGTTAGAAATGGATATTAAATATATTTTGCTTCCTCCGTCTGCAATTTACAGGCCTTTTTTGTCTACCCTTTTTACTGTTCTAGGTTTTCAAAAATTGTGGATAAATTCAGGACTTTTTTACATCTCTATTACATTACCAAATAATTTTCTCAACTATTTTAGAAGAAGAAATTGGATTCCGTCTTTCTTTATTTCGAAGAAATTTGAGAGTATTTGACTTGTGTCAAAACAGATTCAGAGATTGCAGGATTAAAAAAAAAAAGAAACCTATGCATGTGCGACGTATTTTTCTGCAAATAATTTCTCGTTCACGCGACTCTTCTATGATAATTTTATATATATTTTACACAGTCCATTATTTCCAAATTTGATAGCGTGAAGCCGTAAAACATACAAACGCAGTTGGCAGAACACACACTAATTCAAAATTAGCTGCACGGATTGAATTTCTTCGGTCGTGTAGCAACAGGGTGTTCGGAAAGCGAGTGTCTTCATCAAGAAGCCGCGGAGGAAACAGATCGTTGCTTTCACGAAAGCAGATCGCCGGTGAAATTTATGCCGTCACGTGTCGTCCTCGTGGACAAAGTGGACTGCAATTTAACCGCTCCGCTTTAACGAAGCGCCGTTTCTCGTTTAAATGTAGAATCGTAGTAACAACTTTGTGTCCGCTAATCGCGTTACAAGCGAAAAACAATCATCGAGTTTACGATGCGATCGTATCCGTACAATAAGACTGGTAGAATCTCTTCCATCTTCGCTCTTTTGCTGCGCAATCTCTTTCACTTAAAAACATCTTCGCGGCTAATTTTTCGTGATTATCGTTCGTAATGTTTTCCCTTTTATTTACCTTGAACAATTCTAGTCCGTTTAACGCGACAGTATTCACATAATTCACCCTTAACGAGTCCTTTCGTTAATTCAGCGGAACACTTCACTTCTGTTGAAGTGACATTCGAGCTCAAGCCAAGAATTTTGCAATTCTCATCGGTATGCGGACAGTTGTTGGTCACATCTGCATTTTGACGCTTCGAATCTGCTTTTTAATAGTCATAATCGGATATATGCACGGAAAGGACGGTTTGCTGAAGTATCTAAAAATTTAGCTACATACAGATCTGAAAATAATTTGGTTAGATTATCAAAACAATCATGTAAAAAAATTCAAGAGTGACGAACAACGCTGCGAGAACTTTCAACATTACATCAATCAACTTGAGCGTCCTATATAATTATTTTGATAGTCCAACAAAATAATCAGATCTGTACCTAAACTTTTAGATACTTCAGCAAAATCGTTATTTCCATATAGCTATAAATCTGAAAATAATTATGTAGAACACTCAAATTGATTGCCAAAACTTTTTACAGAATCGTTTATCATACTTGAGATTTCTACATAATTATTTATTTATTTACACAATCCAACAAAATTATTTTTAGATCTGTATCTAAATAGATTTCTTAATACTTCAAGAAAATTATTTTTTCCTATGTCTTCTCTTTTCTATCCAATGTATCTAATATCCATTTCTACCAATGTATATAGAAACTTTAATCTCTGTTTTATTTACTGTCTTTATCTTTTCTAACTCTTAAACCTATAAAAACAATAATAATTACAAAAGGACTCTCAAATTTTAAACGACATACAAATAAATAAAAGTAGGCTAATGAGAGTCAGCGCAGATAAAATATTCTTAGAACTAAAGAAATAAAGAGTAAATTGAACAGAGATTAAAGTTCATTTACATTTGTAGAAATAAACACAAGTCACTTTTTGCAAAGTTTATTCTACGCAAAGGGTTCTTAATTAGATAATTACACAGACTTTTGTGTTCAGAAACACGTCTTTGTAATAACATGAAAAAGATTAATGCCGTTCCCACGAGCTTCTGCGGATCTTTAAAAAAATCTCGTAATCTCCCTCGGCAAATTTCTTTTTCTAATTGGGACAAAAATTTTTTGCAACGCTAATTTGACAGAAAAGTTACGAGATCGCGTGACACATCTGAAACAGGAAGATGTAAATCGCGAATGCGTTCGTTCATTAGAAGCTCCTACATCGAACGACGATCGTCTGCCGCTCATTTACCGCAGGCTTACGTTGCCGGCCGTCGTTTCTGCGCTCGAAGCGAGTTCGTTGCCAGTTCTAAAATCGTCGTCCTGACAATGACGTAGGATCGCGGCCGTTTGTCTCACGTGGGACGATAATCGCGACGGTGGATCCTCTCTTTCGTCGCTTCGACGAACGGAAAATATATTACACCGCGGGATCGAAAATCGAAACGAAATCGCAGCGAAACGATTTTGTGAATTTCACGTAATCTGCGTCTGAAGTTAAATAACGAGATATATAGTATGTATATCGATGAAACACAACACGGAGGCTGCTGGAACAATAAATAAACAGTAGTTGGCACTGTTTAGGTAAATCGTACACAGTGATGCTTATGCATTTGCTCCGCGAATTTTGCGTTGCAGCGCGGGAATTGCAGTCGCATTGCACTCGCGTTTCTCTCTCTCTCTCT